AGTAGCGTTGTTGGGTATGACATATCCTGCGTCGAAGCTCTTCATTTTTGGCGAAGCGGGTCTCGAAGAGAGCTGACATGTGGTAGAGGACTAAAATTTGAACTGTAGTGATTATTGACCTCAATTTTGCAATCTTGTATTGGTTAAGTAGTACCTCTCCGCTGAACGGATACGCCGTATCCGAAGTAAGTCCTTTGATCTTCAGGTACTCCGCAGCTACCTAAATATGGACTTACTCTCACTAAATAAGAGTGGAAAAAGGAGTATGCTTGAGAGATTGAGGTAAAAGAAATTTTGCGAACCTGAAAATAGCCTCCACTGCATCCTAAATTGCTTACTCCAAATTCGGAACTTGTTGCTCGATCACAATCCAGCAATTGTTGTACGGAAAGTGTTGGGATGTCATAATCTCAATAAAAATGGAATTATCGACTACTTCTAGTTTTTCTGGAAACTTCGTGACGTTAAACCCACTCTTTAAAGCAAAAAATCCTTCCAAAGCCGCCGCAATAGCAAATGCCCAGCAGCCTCCACAGTCCAGCTAGAAATCGATAAGTCAGTCACAATGGTTACTGTAACACCGCTTACCTGATTGGCTACAGCAGTCTGTAACAATTCTTACCTGATTGGCTACGGGTTGCATATACTGTCGGTAGTCGACTGTGTTGTTATCTGTTTGTCGTTTTCGTCTCATCAGAGGAGTACTATCAGCAAGAGATGTTGGAGGAGGAAGCGATAGCGCTAGAGGTGCTAACTCGTCCGGTTTCTGGAAAACTCATCCTTAGGGGTTAATTTACATCGAGTCGTTGTTTCATTGAGCGTTTGTACTCAGTTGTTAGACAGTTAATTACCTTTTTTGATCAAAAAGACTTCAATCTCACTAACCATAACTGAAAATTTGTTTACACCCATCTTGTAGCTGCTTTGACCATTTTCATATAGGGCATTATGTTCGTTCACTTTCTCTCTGCTTGTTTGAAGCAAATGATAACGCTCTATCGCATCTTCAGGATCCTTACCCAGATCTGAAAAAAATGCCTAAATAAAAAAATGCCCTCAAAATAGACTAACTTACCGTAACCGCTAGTTAGCTCTCTAAACTCCGCATCGTGATCCAAGATTTCCTTCAAAAGTTCCTCTGGTTTTAGAGTCTGCATTCTGGTCATTTATTTGTTGATAGTAAAAGTTACTGATCCTTACCGTTGGTGATGGAGTAGTCGAAACTGGTGCATTTGTTGACAACGGGGCCTTAAATTGTGCATTTCTCGCGAATAATAGGGCAAGGTTCAGGGCAAAATTCATGGACTTCTTTAAGAACAAAAATGGATTCCCCAACCTGGCTAGATGAACTTGCCGAAGCGACATTTCCACAGTAACTGCAACTCACTGGGCAGTAATCTCTTACCATTGTTCGTTTTTGGTACGGCAGCGATAACTCGGACTAAAATTTTTCAGATGAGACTTTAAAGTTTGAGTAGAAATGTGTTTACCGCGAAGTAATTTGCGTCGAATAAAGCTACCCAATAGGTGCATTTTGCGCTGGTGGGTATGGTCTTTAGGATCTGTTTAAACATCGTGGTACAGTATGGCCCATCCTTCTTGTTGCTGCACGCAGCAGAGCATTCTGGAAATGGTATCCTATTTGATTTTTTGTTTTATTTACCTAATCTCATTCCTATGCACTTGAAAGTTCTTTCCAAATCAACGGAGTGGTATGTAATAAAAAAAATCGTTTTGTGTGACCGGTGCTGCTGAAATCTAAAAGCTTGCATTTTATTCAAATTTTGTTTGGAAGGCCTTGTTTGAGCCTTTGGCCAAGTGGCAGCTCATGTAATTTAAT